TCGAACCTGTGTTTTGGCGTGACGAGCGATCGCCTTAACCACTAGGCTACCCCACCGCCCCTCCGCTCAGATGAAAGCTTAGATGGTGGGTATGTACAGGCTGACCTAGACTGAGTTGTGATATATCATGTCGTGTCAGGTTGAAGCGGGAGGAGATCCCGAAGCAAGTAGACAATCCTGTCCAGCCGGGATCTGAACCCACCCTCGTGTTCTGGAGTACGCAACTGAGGCATGACTCTGCATCGAACTACGACGCCTTGGACAATCCTAGAAATATAAACAGGGTGAATTTGAGTGAGTGAGTTTAGCAATGTTCCAGCAATATCACGGCGGAGGACACCAGAAATGGGCTTCACACATTGTGACGAGTGAACGCGTTAACCACTAGGCTACCCCACCGCCGCAAACAACATGTATGTACAGTCAAACCCCGTTGTATCGAACATTCGATTTATCACCATTTTGTATCGAACTTTGAATACGATTAAAGACAAGAACGGATGTGTCGAAATTAAAGGACCTTCGTAACTACTTCGAGTTAGCCGATGGGCTTCACACATAATAATGCTGACGGGGAATCGAACCCGGGGCTTCGGCGTGACGAGCGAACGCTTTTACCACTAGGCTACTCCACCGCCCCCAGGGTGAATATGAGATTTGAAGACACCATCATGGGTTTCTGGCACAGTCAAGGGACGCAACCCTGCTTACAGCGCCTCAGATGACAAACTACAAGGATACTGATTGTTTGAAGGTAAAGACACGTGTTTCGACGCATGTTCCTGAAGACAACAGGTTTGATTCCGACATTCATTCCGAGTATGCATGATCCTTTGTCTGTCGGCATCCCGGCAGGGGTCGCCGTTCACCAAACAAACAAACCCCAACAACCTAGTCATTTGAAACTTTCGACCCACATTAAATAAACACGCTGTATTGCTACCGTAATATGAATATTGGTAGGATCTTTGTAAACTAAAATCCATTCCGTGAGTACACAAAACACACTCCCTCGCAGATACAGGTAGTCAGTGGGTGAGTGAGTTGGGTTTATTGCCGCTTTGAACAATGTAAAGAGCGCTGGTCACAGGTCAGAGTTACGAATCATTACATGGTTGACCAGGTGGGCAGCCTGACACCTGATAGTTTGCATGACTTCAGTCCTGCCCCACAAAGGAACAACTGTGGTCTCACCTTACACGCGTAAATTCGAAATTGCCCCTGTCCTCCACGCAGAAAATGGGTACCCGGCGGGATGCTCATGTGACTGTTACCCTTCCAGCCCTCCATAGGCAGCTTGGGTTGTAGTGCACACTTATCCATTGATGTATCATTAATATTGGCGCTTTGAGCATACATCTTGTGTATGGAAGTTAGCCCAATATAACACACATGATCTTAATAACACTGACGACGTAAAATAGCATTCACTCGCACTCTTATCAAAGAATAAAAGGCTGTGTACCTTTAAGCTTGAAACGCCAATTTAATAACTAAATTAACAAACTAATGCACTTTTGAACTGACACCTGCAAGATTTCTTCAATGTGGCAAAATACCAAAATACACATGAAAAATGTGACTTTGATATGATCCTTACCATTGGCTGTTAATCTGGCGTGTACGTGGGAACACAGATGGCGCTGGCTTATCAGTTTCCTGTGTTGTAACCAAGCAACAGGAATGTTCATGCCTTGGTTTGGAGATCAATGCCGTGGTTTCATGCACGCTGACTCCACCGTTTGAATAAACATTGTAATTTGTGTCACTTTTCTGTATGAACTGAGTGTTTTATTGTCTCCTACATGTTAATATAGAAACGAAATGTATAAATCAATGTTTCATGGTGGTTAAACTGAAAGAAACAAGAAACAGATGATATTGTATACGGATATCACCCTTGTGTTGTATGTCATTATTTTGCAGACTGTTTGCAGCCCAGTACTTGTTGTTTCTAAACATTTGGGAATGTCCAATTTTCATGTGTTGACTTTATTTATCTACCTCAATATTTATCCGGCCATGAGTGAGTGAGTATGGTTTTGCGCCACCTTAGCAATATTCCAATAATGTCACGGCGGGGAACACCAGAAATGGGTTTTCCACAAATTGTTTAAATTTCCTTGAATTTCTCATTTCTTCATGGTTCTATATTACGTCCTGTTTCATAAATATATCACATCCGTTCATTCCTCCTTATCCTCATCCGCTCCAGGGTCCCGATCCGTGCACAAAACGTTAGTAACGCTACGACATTCGTCAGCCAATGCATGACTGACTGACTGAGTTTGGTTTTACGCCGCTTTTAGCAATATTCCAGCAATATCACGGCGGGGGACACCAGAAATGGGCTTCACTCATTGTACCCATGTGGGGATTCGAACCCCGGGTCTTCGGCGTGACGAGCCAACGCTTTAACCACTAGACTACCCCACCGCCCCTCCAATGATCTACAACAACAGGTTGTAACGTAAAGAACGCTTTATGGATCGGATCCCAGGTTCATCATTATTTGATTTACTATTTACCTTTGGATTCTGTTAAATGTACAACCTACCTTGCATACGCCTACACAACAGGCCACTAATCAGTTGTTCAGGGGTCAATCGATGGCTCAGTGTCGGACAAAAGAAAGTGAACAACTACTTTTTTCGTGGCTTGAAATGAATCAAGGCTTTTCGACCCGTGAAGATCTGGGTTAGAATGAATCTTCAGTAACCCATGCTTGTATTAAGAGGCGACTAACGGGATCGGATGGTCAGGCTCGCTGGCTTGGTTGACACATATGTGATCGGTTTACAATTGCGCAGATCGATGCTCATGCTGTTGATCACTGGATCATCGGGTCTAGACAGATGATAATTATGCATTATGCCATATATCTGGAATGTTGCTGAGTGCGACGTAAAACTAAACTCACTCACTCACTAAAAAACCACTAACAACCGAATTAGACCCCCAAATTATAACAATCGTATAAATGAAGCCAAACAGTGTTAAAACTGGGCGTTTCACGACATGCTAGAATGTGACCCAGACGATCTGACACATGCACTACAAGTGATAAAAGTCGATACCAGTCGATAACATTAGACACTTGTTAATGGCGGTTGCCACTTTAGTCTTGATACACTATCCAATGAAGGGGGCACGTGTAAATCATAAGTGACATGACACAGATGCCACAAAGAATAGGCCCTTTGAAAGCTTCCCCTATTGCCTGTTGATAACGTTACAAGTTAAAACATCAGCTGCACTTGCCGTTTCGTATTCCCTCGAACTCTTTAATGGACCAGTTTGAAGAATGTCAGGAATCCCCGACTACTGTTCAACCCAGATTCTGATGCCACGAGCTCATGCGTGTATATGTAAGTGATACCAGACCTCGGCGGGGTTTCCAGTTATAGAATTATATCACACAAACAAACATATTCGGCTTTTGGGAATGCTTGCAAGCCACGATGATCTCATGTGACACTAGTTTACTTAAATGGATTCACATGGAAAACTCTCAAACTTCTTTCAAATGCATTAATGGAGGAGAAAGAACTGAAATTACTCTTCAATGTTTTCACGAGTCTCTTCGACAGACTGGATACTTCAGTTCAACATGCAGCTATCGTCGTTCATTGTGAACAGATTCATTGAATAGAAACATACGCTATTGCATAACCGTTGGTAGGTTGTGGGGAATACCGATTTAATCACAAAAAATAAACTCACTCAAGGATTTTCATTGACGTTGTATTTGAGTGAGTGAGTATGGTTTTACGCCCCTTTTAGCGATATTCCAGCAATATCACGACGGGGGACACCAGAAATTGTGCTCATGTGGGAATCCAACCCGGGTTTTCAGTATGGGACGCTTTAACCAATGTCTGTCTGTCTGTCTGTCTGTCTGTCTGTCTGTCTGTTTGTGATGGTGGGTGAGATGATTGACCGAATAAATAAATTCTTGCTTGGATGATTGACTAACGATGAAAAAAAGGTGAAAAAAGCACAGACCCTCGATTTCAAAAACAGAAACGATGATACGAACCTACATCCAATACAGCCATTTTCAAACCAACGGCAAACACATAACTCTATATTGGGGCGGTGGGGTAACCTAGTGGTTAAAGCGTCCGCTCGTCATGCTGAAGACCCGGGTTCGAGTCCCCACATGGGTACAATGTGTGAAGCCCATTTCTGGTATCCCCCCGCCGTGATATTGCTGGAATATTTCTAAAAGCGATGGAAAACTAAACTCACTCACTCACTCAAATAACTTTATGATGCTGTCCTCTCCAACAGGGTGAGTTAGTTCAGTGGTCAAAGTGTCAGCTCGTCACGCCGGAGATCCGGGTTCGATTCCCATCATGGGTACAATACGTGAAGCAAACTTGGCTGGAATATTGCTAAGAGTGGCGTAAAACCTTACTCACTCACCCTCTAACAGGAGGTAGCTGTGTCACAGTGGTAGACACTGTTATGACGTATAATATTCAAGTGAGGACGGCGGATATTTTGGCTCAAATTCGAGTCCCGAGTAAATGTGTGAATCCCATATATGGTGTTTCTCGGCTCACTCTTCATGTCAAGGTGCGAGGGGTTTCTGCTATTAAAGAGATAACACTTTACGCTGCGACACACGGTGCTGTACAAACCGCACAAGTTACGTACGAGGCAGAGTAAAGCAACAGTGGCGTCCGAGAGAAGTGGGTAGGAGAGTAGGCTCGGAAAGTTTGACACAGGAGACCCATTACGTTTCGATCCTGTAAAACGCATTTTACAAAGGAACTATCGCTTGACAAGTTTCCTTTCGAAAATTGCCTTTGTTTCATCAGCAGAGAATGGGTACCCGGTAGGATGAGACTCTGTACTCCACAGGGAGCTGAAATTGTGATGCACAAAGAACCGTTGACGGCAGTAGTAATGGCACGAACTTTGAGTACATCCCTCCATGCTGTACAGGTGCAATAATAATGTTTATAATCATAATATAGACACATCAGATCGTATGAGTTAATATAAGTTTATTTTGGAAGTATTACGTGTAGACGGACTATATTTACAAAAGTTTTCACCTCAATGGATGAATCTCATTCGACACACGGCAGGTACCATTGGAGAAGCCGCGCTTAGTACTAACAGATCTTTGTATTGACAGACCGAGCCACGTGAGGACGTGACGTCGTATTTCCACTTGACGCCAATATCCCCAGCGTCAAGTAACCGGAAGAGCACTACAGTTGAACCGAAAGCTTTGATTGGCTGAGACAATATAACTTCAAAATATTAACAGTCATCGCGTTGGCCAATTTAAACTTTCCTCAGCTTCTGTGTCATCTGTCCATTCTTGCTGGCTGTAACCTGCAAAAATGAAACCGGTCATTAATAAAGGACACACGTTAATATCGGCTGCTTGCATGGCTGTGTGTTTACTGAGCAACTCGAACTGCCGTCAATCGGGGTGATTTTACGACATAGTCCAAGTGAAATTATCGTCAATATGGCGCCAAACTGAGCGTTACGTGCCTGATTCTTAAAGATACGGCGGTATATATCAAACAAAAAGGGTTTTGTGTCCTAGAAGATTAACAGATACAGATGGCGCTACTAAAGATCAAGGATCTTACCAGAGAACTGGCGATCATCTTGTTTTATTGAAAATTTATTTCTTGAGTGAGTAAGAGTGAGTGAGTGAGTTTAGTTTTACGCTGCACTCAGAAATATTCCAGCTATATGGCGACGGTCTGTAAATAATCGAGTCTGGACCAGACAATCCAGTGATCAACAGCATAAGCATCGATCTACGCAATTGGGATACGATGACATGTGTCAACCAAGTCAGCGAGCCTGACCACCCGATGCCGTTAGTCGCCTCTTACGACAAGCATGGGTTACTGAAGACCAATTCTAACCCGGATCTTCACGGGTCACTTTATTTTGTCCAACAGTGTACCTTCGATTGGCACCTGAATAACTGATTAGTGGCCTGTTGTGTAGGTGTATGCAATGTAGGTTGTATCAGTAAAAAGTATAAATAGCAAAAAAATAATTATCATTTCCCATACTGCGAGATTTCACTTGCAATTCAAAGTACCATATATTTTACAGAATTATTATTATGATACTTCAGCTTCAACCTCACTACGTGTGGGGAATCAGGACGACAGCTTCCATCTGTACTGTTCGGATTAACGGGGTCTGACTTTACATGAATGGTGTACGTATGACTTACCGCCACCATCTTATCTCCATCCATGCTGCGGGTTACAGTCCACTCCCTGTTGACGTCCGCCAGCTTGTAGCTCTCAACGATAGTGTCATTCTCTCCTTTCGTAATGGCCAGCTGAAATAGCCACGCAACATATCACAACCGGCTGAGTGAAATGACGTAAACCAAAGTACAGAAGATGTTGTCTCCCAAAGTAGGTGACAAATATGTCCTTAAACCAAAACGTACAAAACGGGACTAAAGGTAGCCTTGAAAAACAAGGGATCCGAGTCCGATTCCCTATATGGTTATGTGTGAAATCTGTTCTGGGATGCAACGCCGTGATGCACTTGCACACTCAGGAAGAAGCTGCCCTTACCCTTGTTTGCTACACCTTCTCACACATCAAGGTTGGTTTGTTATTTTACGCCGCACTCAGCAATATTCCAGCTGTATGGCGGCGGTCTGTAAATAATCGAGTCTGGACCAGACAATCCAGTGATCAACAGCATGAGCATCGATCTACGCAATTGGGATACAATGACATGGTCAACAGAGTCAGCGAGCCTGACCACCTGATCCTGATAGTCGCCTCTTACGACAAGCATGGGTTACTGAAGACCAATTCTAACCCGGATTTAGCTCTGAGGCACTGGCAGGTTGGGTTTAACGCCGATTAGGGTAGAGTTTAAGAGGAAACCTAAAGGAGAGTGAGGCGGGTCGTTAGCTTGTACCATTTTGCCCAAAACACCAACCCAGGCTAGTAACCCAAAATCATGAGACAGAATCCCGTATTCGGAATCGAAAACACAGCCGCTGTTTTTATACATTTGAGGAACATGGTTCTATAGCAAGCCGTTTTCACAATTACTAAGAAATACTGTTATCTTAATTTGTTGTAAAGATATTTTGAATGAAAACAGATATGTCTTGAATTGTATTTAAGAAATCTTGAATTCATTTCTAACACAGTTATGTATATTGTGATCGTAATTGTATTGATATCTTAAACACATTTGGAGATATCACAAAAAATCGTGTTGATATCTCAGTAACATTTTACGATATCTGTAATTCTACTTTATATATCAGAAATCAATTAAAGATATCTTCAATTATTTATCGATATTATGGAAACAATATAATTATCACCATATAAAATACAGAGATCTTTAAAGCAATTGAAGATATCTTTAATTTCTTAATAAATGTGAATACGTCTTGCCAAACGGTTCTCCAGAATTAGTAAAAAGGTGGGGGGTTTTACGAAAAATATTTAGCCCGGGTGGTTTCAAAATTGAGCAGAAAATGTATTGAATTCGTCAGTGATCTGAGGTTGTCATTCTTTAATCACTCATTATATTTGTCAGGCCCGCCATATAGCTGAAATATTGCTGAGTGCGGCGTAAAACTAAACTCACTCACTCACGTTAGGCCAGACCTTCGGTCGGTTGACGTACCCTGGGTTTTGTGCCATCAATGGCGGCGTATTCGAACTCTTCACCGAACTTCCACGTGTAGTCCTGCTCCCCGACCCCCTCCATGACGATGTGGGTCTTGTAGCCGTCCCCCTCCTTTTCAGTGGACACTGTGTAGTCCAGTTTGGTGTAGAGGTCGACCACGTCCTGGGGCAGACCTGGAATACAACACCGCCATCATCATCGACGCGACCCTCAATGTTCATGCAAAAACATGGACCGGTGAAGATCCGTTAGAATTGATCTTCCGTAACCCATGCTTGTCGTAAAAGGCGACTAACGGGATCGGGTGGTCAGGCTCGCTGACTTGGTTGACACATGTTATAGTATCCCACTTGCGTAGATCGATGCTCATGCTGTTGATCACTGGAACGTCTTTCCAGACCCGATTATTTACAGACCGCCGCCATATAGCTGGAATATTGCTGAGTGCGGCGTAAAACAAAAATAAGATGAAAAAACATTGTACAGTTACGTTTTTTTCCCTTAAATATTATCACGCTGATTGCGGAATCGAGCAAGATGGACCTGGCCGTATTATCATCAGAAATGGTTTTGAATAGAGTCAATGCATTAATACCACAGTAACGATGAATGACTGCGAACGATCACTATCCTTGTTTTTACAGGTTGTCCATCATCGGTCGATTTAAATTAATATTAAGGCTTTAAAAAAAAAATTTTAAAATAATTTAAAAATATCTGTCCTACTATTAAACACACTCAAATAAATGCAAACAAGCCGAACAAGCCGCATAACGCCCCCAACATGGCGGCAACTGATGGCATGGAAACGAGGCTTTTAACGGCGACTGCGCATGTCATGATCCTTGACAGGCTAGTTACATCGCAGCGAAGAGAGCGACTATGTGCGACCTAAACATGCTTCACTTCAAACAATAATGGAGATGTATTTTTTTAATAACAGGTTCATTAGACAACGTTTAAAAAAATGATGACCTAAAAGACAAGTAAACTTGACAGCTTTCGTGTGTGTGTTTTCAGAGTTGAAATTCACTCCGCAGTCCAAAGCGTTTCAACTCACTATGCAGAGTTGCGTCCCTTTGTCGTGCAGGATCGTGAGTTCCTGATTTGATGATTTGATCTGATTGTTTCCAGGTCAAGGTGATGCAAGAGAAAAACTTTTCAAAGTGCATTTAAACTTACTCACTCATATACAAAATAATTTATCGAAAAATATTTTGATTGTATTTTGTGAAATTTGTAAGACAAGCAGTATATCCCTACCTGCAGCCTTGAGGAACTCCTCCATGCCAACAGTCTCCTCCTTGATAACCTGCCATTTGCCGAGAAGAGCGTCCATGTTGATTAGTTGTGAGGAGAGAAGTATATGCGACAACAGCAAAGAGAATAAGAGGGCGAGCAGAGTGCAGCCCGGCCTTTTAAGGTTGTTGAGACTGAACTTCGACTCGGTGACTTGTCATCACAAGACCATAGTTATCTATGTCCAAAGATGAAGTGATAACACAAGATAGCCTGGCCGAGCTATATTTGACAAATTGGCGTCACCTCAACGAATTCCGAGGTGGGTTGTGATAACAGAATTCGATATGCAACTGACACAGGAGGGTAGAATGTATCCAAGATTATTGTCACTTCAGTCAGAATAAGTGGGTGTGATTGAGTTTAGTTTTACCCTGCCTTTAAGGGCATTCCAGCAATATCACTGCGTAGGGCACCAAAATGGGCTTCACACATTGTACCCATGTTGCGAATCGAACCCGTTTCTTCGGCGTGACGAACGAGCGCTTTAATCACTTGGCTACAATACCGCCCCACTCAAAGTGGATCGACTGCGATCCTGAACAGTATGGGGACTGAAGCGGGTATTGAGTGAGTGAATGATTTCACTCCGCTGTGAGTGAGTGAGTTTAGTTTTACACTGCACTCAGCAATATTCCATCTATATGGCTGCGGTCTGTAAGCAACCGAGTCTCGACCAGACAAACCAGTGATCAACAACATGAGCATCGATCTACGCAATTAGGATACGATGACATGTGTCAACCAAGTCAGCGAGCCTGACCACCCGATCCCGTTAGTCGCCTCTCACGACAAGCATGGGTTACTGAAGACCAATTCTAACCCGGATCTTCACGGGACACTTTATTTTGTCCAACAGTGTACCTTCGATTGGCACCTGAATAACTGATTAGTGGCCTGTTGTGTAGGTGTATGCAATGTAGGTTGTACATTTACAGTATCAAAAAGTATAAATAGCAAAACAAATAATTATATAACTGGAGCGGATGATGATGCGAAGGAAGGAACGGATGTGATATACATGTACATGTATGTATGAAACAGGACGTGTTTTAGAACCAGGAGGAAATGAGAAGTACAAGGACATTCAAACAATGGACGGTAGTAGCTAATTCTACGTCTTGTTCACTACGGGTAGGGTAAGAGTGAGTGAGTTTAGTTTTACGCCGCACTCAGCAATATTCCAGCTATATGGCGGCGGTCTGTAAATAATCGAGTCTGGACCAAACAATCCAGTGATCAACAGCATAAGCAACGATCTGCGCAAATGGGAACCGATGACATGTGTCAAACAAGTCAGTAAGCCTGATCACCCGGTCCCGTTAGTCGCCTCTTACGACAAGCATGGCTTACTGAAGATCAATATTCGAACCCGGATCTTCACGGGTATGGACGGTAGCAGCTAATGCTACGTCTTGTTCACTACGGATAGGGTAAGAGAGTGAGTATGGGTTTATGCCACTTTTAGCAATATTCCAGCAATACTATGGCGGGGGACACCAGAAATGGGCTTGACACATTGTACTCATGTGGGGAAGCGAACCCGGTCTTCGGCGCGACGAGCAAATGCTTTCAACATTAGGCTAATGTGATTAACATGAGGAACACGTTGTTTCTTCCCATGTCAGACTGATACTGGATGAATTTGGATGATGTCATGAAACAGAGTGAGTGAGCGAGTTTAGTTTTACGCCGTTTTTAGCAATATTTCAGCAATATCACGGGGGACAGGCAGACTTGCATAAGTCTCTCAGGCAAAAAATAATAGTTTAAATGATAATTTCTAAAAAATAGTAAATAACAGACTGAGGTCCTAAGAGCACAAGTCTGTAGGGTAAATATTAATAGTTTAAATGATAGTTTCTAAAAAAAATGATTTATAACAGACTGGGGTCCTTTTGTCCTCGACTTCATTAATACAACCTTGGAGCAAGGCTACCATGTGGGGGACAACGACTATTAACATTAATGAACATGCACGTGCAATACATGACAAGCAATCGACAATGCCGATGTGATCTGGTTCAGTCGAGATAAATCTGAACCACATTTGTGGTAGAGTAAAATGCTGCCTTATAGCTCTTTAATACTGATGATGGCATATTTACGTGCATACAGAACTTAGTAGAAATATGTACGTCCTATTCTGCATTAACAAATTAAATTAATATTCTCATGCGTAATACGACTGCGCTGGACGAATTCGACATATAAATATTAGATTGAACTTAGTATGAGTGGAATTCCTTTCAAACCAACAGCAAAATAAAATTTGGATGAGTGCATTTGAGTTTAACCGCCCAAAATGCAATTCATCAAATCTCGCCCCAGATAATGTCATCATCTCTTGAAGACCAGCTGCATCACCGAGTGTCTATCTTACGGAACCCTAGAAGAGTCATTATCGCGTTGTCTCCCTTACCACAACAAACAAAATTTCAAAAGTAACCAAATCTAGGTAAAAATGTGTCGCGTTGACCCATTGTCGGCCTTTAGTAGAATAAAAAAATATTCAAAGCACGACAACGCGTAGTCACATTGTCGCGCCTCGCAGTTTTAACAGTCGTTGCATATGTTTGTAAGGGCAACAACGCGACAATGACCCTTCAGGGATTTCATACTATTTACTTGCTGTCTGGGACAGGCTCACTTCGACTGAACGAAGAGTATATGAATGGACGTGTGTTTCCAATCCTTCAGATAAGATTGTTAAATATGATTGGCCAGCTAGAAGGATGCTGTATTATCCCTGACCTTCCAAAGATCAACAGAGTACATGTTCCACTCGCACTGAGAAAACCTTCAGATAGAAGTCCTACTCAAGCCTAGAAAGATAGCTCAGAAAGTAAGGATTGTGAGTGAGTGAGTGAGTGAGTGAGTGAGTGAGTGAGTGAGTGAGTGAGTGAGTGAGTGAGTGAGTGAGTGAGGTGAGTGAGTGAGTGAGTGAGTGAGTGAGTGAGTGAGTGAGTGAGTGAGTGAGTTTGGTTTCACGTCTTTAGCAATATTCCAACAATATAACGGCGATGGACACCAAAATTGGGCTTCATACATAGTACCCATGTTAGGAATCGAACCCGGGTCTTCGGCGTGACGAACGAACGCTTTCACCACCGCCCCAGTAAGGAATGTTCTCGGCTCCAATTAGACTTGTTCAGAAGATAAATATATATTTTTTAATAAGGTATGTCTGGGACTACTAGTCTATAATAAATGCAAATATTTTGAGACATCAGTAGCGTCAGGGAAGTGTCTTTTTAGGAGCACTGAATAACTATATCTGTGTAGTACGATTCGAGTCCATATAGGGAGCATCGTTAAGTTATCCACACTCATACTCAGAGTTTATTACTCAAAATGGAACCACCTCCGGTGGTACATAAGTACATAAAATGGAATGCAGAATATACAAATTATGCAAGAAGGTGACAGGGAATATACGCAATGATTACTGAAAACTAGAACATATACATTTGATAAATTTGGATCGGGGTTTGATTGTCGAAATTTTCGTTACTTGACATCAATTTTTTAAATGTAGAGGGATGAAGGAAGGAACAAGGGCTATCTGCTAGGTGAGTGATGCGTTGTTGGCTAAAATATGAACATCTAAAGATATAATGGAACATAGGCGGATCCAGATGGGGAGTGCAGGGGTGCGCGCACCACCCCCACCCCCCCTTTTGTCCTGAAAGTTTATTAAATGACCATTGAAACGCTCGTGAAAATGAAGTGTGCACCCCTCCTTTCTCAATAGTGTGCATGCCCCACCACCACCACCACCACCCCCACCACCACCATCACCCCTTCTCAAAAGCTGTATCCGGCCCTGATGGAATTCATCCCCAGTTATCTGCGAGTTACAAAGGTTACATACTCTTTCATTTCTTGAGAGATTTGTCTATCTCTCACTTTCTATTTGCAATTTATGGTTAGATGTTTTACAATATAGAATAGGTTTCCAAATGTTTTCAGATAGCAGTAATTATTGTCGAGTGAAGGTGAGTTTTTAAAAATCTTATAATATTGTCCTTTACATGAGTTATTCATTTCACTGGTCCACGATTGTAAACCCTGGTCTATCAGGACTCAGATTGTGATATGATCCATGATTGAGTATAATGAAAGGAGTTTACAAATACTGCCACATTTACAATATATATGTTTCACATGATTTAGCCAGGGGGCATCATCCATGATATAATCTAGAATGAAAACTGCAGTTTTGTTGTTTGGATGGGAAAATTTCAATTTGCACCAATAAGTAATTAATCGTTTAGAGATTTGGAGCTGAATAGGTTGTATCAAATTCGTAATTTCAGACAGGTTCCTAAAAGGATTAACGAATTTATACATCGAAATATCTGTAATGTAAAACGAGCGTCATACGTGGAACATGTAATCTACATCGATATATCCGTAGTGCGGGACGAGCGTCATATGAGGAACATGTAATCTACATCGACATATCCGTACTCGGGACGAGTGTCATATGATGAACATGCAATATAACTCAATATATCCGAAGTGCGGGACGAGTGTTATATGAGGAACGTGTAATATATATCGATATATCCGTAGCGCGGGACATGTGTTATATGGGGAACATGTAATACATATCGATATATCCGTAGTGCGGGACGAGTGTCATATGATGAACATGCAATATACCTCAATATATCGGAAGTGCGAGACGAGTGTTATATGAGGAACATGTAATACATATCGATATATCCATAGTGCGGGACATGTGTTATATGGGGAACATGTAAAACATATCGATATATCCGTAGTGCGGGACGAGTGCTATATGGGGAACATGTAATACATATCGATATATCCGTAGTGCAAGACGAGTGTTATATGGGGAACATGTAATACATATCGATATATCCGTAGTGCGGGACGAGTGTTATATGAGGAACATGTAATACATATCAATATATCCGTAGTGCGGGACGAGTGTTATATGGGGAACGTGTAATACATATCAATATATCCGTAGTGCGGGACGAGTGTCATATGGGGTACATGTAATACATATCGATATATCCGTAGTGCGGGACATGTGTTATATGAGGAACATGTAATACATATCAATATATCCGTAGTGCGGGACGAGTG